CCTGCGTTCTTTCCTGACTCAAGAAATGCAAGCGCCGGTGGAAATGTTGCTTGTGGTTTTGGCGTTTCTCAAGCGTTTGGTGCCCAGCATTGTGGGAGGATATTGTGCAGTTCTAACCCACTGCTCTCTCCAGTAATGACATAGAGAGCATTGCCTCTGTCCATCTGCCTGTTTTCACAAAGCTCACAGCACAGAGCTGCCTCTACAATACTTCCCTTCTTCCCAGATTTGGCTGTATTCAGCCAATGGGCTAAAAGTCAGGGTTTAGGGAAAGCAGGACACGACTCTGGTGTAATTGTTTGAGCCTCATTTCAAGAGGATAGCATGTCTGCAAATGTCAGCTTGCTTTTACCCCATCGCAGCAGTGAAAGGTGAAGTCAGGCCACCACCAGCTAAAAATAGGCAGTGCAATCAAACCTCCATTAGCAGTCAGTAGCTTCATGCTGGACAGTTTCATTGTGACAGGACTGCACTCCTCCCCATTCACTCACCCCAGCTGGGAAATGGGAGGAGTGGCACAGAGATGGTTGAGTCCTGAGAAAACGCCCAGAGCCACACAGCAGGCAAGAGAGACAATTAATTTCGCAAGTGCCTCGGACAGCAGTTTCCAAATCTCTGTCCATGGGGCACCAGCATCTGTGAGGTCTGCACAGTCACACTGCCCGCACCGCCTTCCAACGAAAGGGCTGATGATAAAACAGCAGGGCAGAGCAGACGAAATTTGGAGGGCTGAGTGACTGCAGCTTGAAAATATCTCATGGTTTTAGGAATTACGGTGTGTGAAGCCCGCCATACCCGGCACTGCGCTGTACGTGATCCTTACATTAGCCTGGTGCACACAATAACTGTGTTGCTGTGTTGGTCAGGTCAGTGAAAATGACCCCAGTAAACCATCAAGTTAGTAGGCTTCTGCACACGCTTATGAATGTCTATCAAATAGCAAAACTAGGTTCCTACCAACTTCACCGCACAGAATTAAATTAGTACTTGAGGAAAACATAGGCGTGCTTTGTCAACTTAGAAAGGGACCTAAAAGCTGGAAAGTTTTCCTCGTTAGTAAGTGGCAAAGTTATGAACCAAACAGTGTCACATTTTTTTCAGATGCACAATAGCAAATTCTTTGAGTGATTTATTAGAGCAGCACCAAGCAGCTGTGTACCATTTTTAACATGGTCCTGAATAGCAGTATTTCTTAGCCTTCAAGAGAAATGCTACCTTTTAGCACTGATTTGGTACGAGCCAACCACAGCAGCAGAGACCATTTGGAAACGTATTTTAGAAGCGTTAAGCAGTTTTTGTACATCATAATCTAAACTTACTGTCTAAATTCAAAACAAAAACAAGCAAGCAGAACCCAGTCACAAATTTAAATTACTTTTTCAGTCTGTTCCTGTGTGGAGGGAGAGGAGTTCTATGGCATAGGCAGCTATTCTGGTCAGTTCCTGTACCATGCACAGTCCTATGGTATAAAATCTGAACTGTGTGACTTTCAAAATCAGGAAGAGCCATTGTGTTAAGCATTACTGTAACAGACAGTTGTAACTGTGAGAAGAACTCCCATACCAACAGAACATAAACAATTCAAACTGTTCTTGTGAAAAGACATCAATGTTCAGTTACTCTTTCATTTGGAAAGAACCACCCATTTTTCACTCTTCAAAAGATCCACAATATTTCAAAATAAAGCACCATTTTATTGCAAAATATGCAGTGACTGTTTGCAACTAAAGACGTGTATCAAAAGAGAGTAATAACGATTAGCTGGTAATGTCTCCTTGAACTTGAAGGCACAAAAGGCAGAAGCTAAGAGTTAAGGCCCATGTGGTAGGTCTGAGAATATGAAGTGTAATTAATGTGCATTTGTCTTCCAGGCATACTTTAATTTTGCAAGCACCAGGTAGGACACAAAGAAGGTTTGTGTTTTGCCCCATTACACAAAAGGCCAAAAGGTACTGAGAAGTGCTTTCAAAAATCTGGGTGTTCTACAGTCTCTGTGCATTCTGACAGGCAGGTGGGTAATGAGTCTGTAGGCAGCTCAATGGTTGGCAAAGAGCTTCATCGTCAGAGTGAAATAAAAGAGCCAAGATTATAAAAGGCAGCTACAAACAGTGTACATATCTATAAATATCCAGATAAAGTTAAGATCAGGTACATCACTTGATAGGCAAGGGAAGAAAAAGAAAGATAGGCTGTACTAATAAGAAATAAAGAACATTTCTGACTTAAGTTCACACACACTCAAAAGCTAACTAAACAAAGCACACTAAGAAATGGAAAGAGTGGCTTAAAGTATTCAGAGTATTTAGATGGCATTCGTTTTGGCAATAGGTGACTCACCTGACATACAATACTCCAGCTGTGACCCACATGAGTGTGGACCACTCATCTTCCTCTCTGAGAACACAGAGCACGGAGAAAGATAGCAGAAGGATAAATACAAGGAATATAAGAAGAAACAAGGAACTCTGCCAGTCAGTGAAGTAGGCAAATCTGCCAACCCAGATTTGTCAGGGACAAGGTATGCCGTACCTTGCTGACATCCATCTCACGTGAAAACAGGCCCGGTGCCATGGATGCACGGACTCAGACACGGTCATTGGGTGAAGTCCTCACAGGTGAAGCTGTAAGCTCCAATCCTTACCGACCACCAGTGCTCTTAGAGAGTCAGTACCAAGGCTTTTGCTGGGAGCTTGGGAAGATACTCAAGCAGAAAACTGAAGGGCTTTGTGTAGGATCTATCCCATTCTACATGTCCACACACAATTCAGACTGCAGAGTGAAAGAGGACCTCTACAAGATCCCCTACTGAAATCATACTCGGATGAACTACAAACACTACAGGAGACTGGGATGCTGCTGTCTTGGTAGATTTGTCTGAGGCCCACTAAAGACAGTAAGTATGCACTAAATACATAGACAGAAAGTGAAGATTATCAGGGTGGCCCCAGTGTGATGTGCTTGGAAGAAGGCAAATACAGTTCCAGTGTGTTGATAGAACTGATGTCTGCAAGTCCCAGTTCTACACTGTGCTGGCCTCTGTCAACACTTTGGGTCACATTTTGGACAGCATGAGTTAACATGGTCAGACTGAAGGACCCAGGGGAGAGCACAATCTCCATACTTAGAGGTACTGTGAAGAGCACAAATTACCTGGGTTTACTGAAGACTACTAGGACATAACAGTGGTGTTCAAATGAGGACACATTTGTCACATCTGTTGCCAGTAACAGTAAATAATTCACCAAACTAGCAGGGATTTACTGCAAGAGCCTCCAGCTGTGGGGTTCAACAGTGGTACACACTGCTTACACAGTCATGGGATCCTTTTCATTGGAAGCGTTTAAGAACAAGAAAGAAAAGGAATTGTTCTAGTGTTGGCAGAACTGACCCAATCTCAGAGCAAGGAGATGGACTACTCAGCTTTTTGAGATTTCCCTTAGCCCTTATTTCTCTGAAAGATCTCCTACATTTAGTTACACTTGCATCATTTGCAGTTTAGTAACAGCTAAGGACGGGGAACACAAATATTTCCACCATCTCATCAGTGTTGTACTGATCTTTATACGTGCTATGGACAGTATTTTTCAGAGGATAGCTGTGCTGTATTTCCTGAAAAACTTGAGGCTGCTTGAATGGACTTGTGTTGGATGATGATGTTGGGACAAATGCCGATTCCTCCTTTCCCAGAAACCCCTTTGCTAAGAGCCACATCAGAGAATTGCAGAAAATATATATCCAACCTATTCTACCTTTGAAAACTACCCTGATAACACAGCTCCCTCACATTGTCTCTACTGTACCTTAACCATATGAAAAAAAGACAGTAGAGAATGCATTAACAATTTCCAAATAACTTTCAAAACTCTGATAGGAAAATTCTAGACAGAACTTCACACCTTTTCACTGTCTGGACTACAGCAGCATCTCTATAGAATATGGAAGATCACACACTGCATACACATTCAAAGCTGATTTTTGGGGCTGAATTTGAAGTCCACTACAAAACCTGCCAGGTTCTAAATAGGTAAATCAAGGCCCCAATATTACATACAGCAGAACAGGGCTGAGCAGACAGAAATACAAGCTGGCCTTTGTGAATTCTGACTGACCTCACTGGTCAGCCTTCAGGCAGACTATCCTTTTACGAAAGCAAGATACCCCCCAAAGTTTCTTCAGTGAAAACAGAAAACAAAACAGATCTGAAGCCCATTGGTGTCCGATAATAAAAGAAATTCTATCCATTACCTCATTTTATCAAGACAGGAGAATACTTCAACGCAGTTTACAGAAATGCTCCAAATTCCTCCATTACTACATGGTTTGCAAACAGCCCCTGGTCATTAGCTTTACTTGAGCCGAAGTGTTTTCAGCTTAACAGCAAATAACCACAGGGAACAGACCCCAGGGGCGTTCCAAGAGCACTGCAGAAAGCCAGCTCTTTCCTTAAGGATACATAGCAACCGCCTTCCACTTCTATTTCAGAGTTTTCACACAGCATTTTGACAGCAAGAAACCTGAATCTCTTAGAGAGGCTAAATCTGAGTGTCTGTACCTCTGCGTTACCTCTGTAAGTCCAGGCAATGCAAAATGCAAAACTGCTGATACTGATCACTGCGAGACCCTGAGATGACCTCACTGCAACTACAGATGCTAACACATTCTCTGAGAATAGACAGAATTTTTTACAAACATTTGAAGCCCTGCTGAAATTTGATTTCAGATGCAATTCAGAGATTCCCAAGAGATGCAGGCTTTGAAAATCCCCAATCATTTCTTAACGTTGTTCCACAAGAACCCACAACAGCTGATATCCATACCAATACTTCACCTAAGAACTGTCACTACACAAAGATGGATCTTTCTCATGGGAACATGGGAAATCTTCCATGCCGATTTTTCTCTTTTAAAGTTAGATGGCTTCAAGCCCCAGGACTGTCCAAAGCTACAACATTAATTTTTAAGTGCAGTAATACTTTTTTTTTAAAAGCAGGCAGAAAATATGACATTTTACATTTCATTTTTATTATCTTTAATCAGACACATTACAATGCACAACTGTGTCTTTAGCCAGATAACAGGGTGCCATTCTTCAGATCAGGAAAAGGTGAAGGGCTCCTAGTCCTTCCTCTGATTTTTTAGGTAAAAAGAATATCACAGATATCCTAAATAAGAACTATTCCCTCATTTAGTAGAGCATCCCCACTACACTCATAAAGCCTTTAAAACAGTTCAGTTGTAGATTTCACTTGTTCCTGTATTTGAGACTGCAGCTACTGTAACGAGGGGTCCTAATGACTGAGGATCGCTCTTGCCTTCTAGAAGCTACACAGAAAGAACATTACTTCATAAGGTGTTTTCTAATTGAGCATCATACAGTCTTGAAAATACAATTCTAACTTCACCATCTTGCTACTGATGCAACTTTCCAGCTTTTGAACGCTCATTAATTGAGTGTGCTTATAAAACAAAATCCTTTTATTTAATGCTACACAATTTGAATTGAAAGAATAGAACATGTACTTCACCTCAAGATGAAACTATAGGGATACATCCCAGAACATTTTCCAGAGTAAAACCAGATTACCAATTACCAAACAGTGCAAGAAACATTTGTATCCATTTGCACTTGGTGTATTTCAGACAGACTACAGCATCAGAACATTAAAGTACCTCTCCTCCATACAGCAGATCTCTTACTCTGTGGGAACCAGTTTGTCAGGATATACTTATTGATAACAACAAAGAAAATCAAATGAAGGGTTACATTCTGATGTCAGGTGTACAAGTGCAGTAGTGGATTACTCGCAGAGGAGAACAACATTATAAAAGTGGTATTCAGGTTAGCCTGGAGTGACTATAATACAGAGAAACTTCATGTCAAAATAAGTATTTACACAGAAACTGTCACAGCAAAGAGGACAGGAAGCTAGTCTCACAGAAGTAGTTCATTAAAAAGCAAATGAGTGGACGAAGACAAAGGCTTTGACTTTATATAATAAAATACCAAGTGCATTCTTTTAAGTGAATGAGTCTTTGAGACTATGGTCCTAGACTTTAGGAAGCCATGTGAAGGTCAGATGTACAGTCCTGCTGTGTAGCAAGGGTTACTCGGACTGCCAGAGTTTTTACATCTCTTGTAACCGCAATAAATCACAGCAATTCTAGTGGTGCTTCTTACTGTGAGTTCCAGATGATAGCTCTTAAATAAGCCCCCTCCAAATGCCAAAGATAGGTTGGTTTTTTTGTATAGCAGATCCTCCAGAACAAATCTGATGTTTTTCCACTACTTCTGCACCGTACATCTGGGATTAGAACTGAGCCCAGAACACTTAAAGGCTAATTATGTTTAGCTTCTCAAATGCTCTTGGCCGGAGAGCTATTATCCAGCTTTTTCTTGTCAATGCATCTTTAATCACATGCAATTTCTTAAGCTAGCCATATCATTTCAGTTATTTCGGCTCTTTTCCAACAGGCTTATTTTAGGCTCGTTGCAAAGAAAGGTTATTAATGGCTGGCTATTTTATGTATTTCTTCAAGAGCCGCTACTAAAATAACCAGATGCATTTGTGAGTGAACACTTGTGGCTGACTGCTCGAGTAACTTCAGTACTCTTCTCAAATTAAATTTTCAACTAAGAGCAGAATTGTTTTTAAACTAATATTTGCGAGCATCTTTTAAGCCAGCATACACAAAAGCATTAAACTTTACCACCTCCCAGCTTCCTCGGCCAACTACCAACTATTAGGGATCACCAGAGTCTCTCCAGTGCAAGACTCTAGGGAACCAGCTCAAGCCCTCACAGCACAGGAATCCCATTTGAAATGGCTTGTAGAAATTGACTCCAATACACAGGACAAAACCGTAGAACAAAGTCTCACAATACTATTGCAGCCTCTCGGGAGCTTGCTGCGCCCCTTGAGTCAGTAACTGGAACATTAGTGACTGAGCTCAAGCAGGCACCACACCGAACAGTCAATCTGAGCAGCTTCCCTCTCACGTTAGAATTAATTTACTGTAATGTACATTACTTTCAGTGGAATGATACTGCTCGTGTTTTAGCAGGATGGGGAAGATTCCACTTTGTCTTTTATTGTTTTATAAGGCAGATAATGCAGAAAGTTAAAACAGAACTTCTACAAGCATTTAATCTGTGATATTGTAAAATCAAAGTACTACTTTATTAAATGAGTTATTTTACACAATATGAACATCAATATAATTACAATTGTAAAAAATTTTTTGTTTTTATAACAAGTATGGACTGATTTTTCAGGATTTCCAAAGAGGGCACAACTGTACATCTCCACAATTGTCTTTGCATGAAGCCCAAGAGGGAACAGCATAAAAATATGAATGTTTCTGTAGCCCCTTCATTTTTGCTGATCAACAGTTTTAGAAAAGCAGCTGCAGGTTTGTTATGTAAGGTCTGACAGTAGAAGAGTCAATAGGTGCCATGATTTCACCTATAAAAAATAAGAATAACTCAGTTAAGCTGAACTGTTACACAATGCTGTTTACCTTAGAGTGAAAGAAATACCGCAACTCTGTTTTTCACCTTATTCCATCCTTTAATTGTAACTTGTTTCAGCTACAATCTAACAACTGGCTGTTAAGAAACCTTCTAGAGAGAAAATAGAGGTCCAATCTTGTATCTGAATGCAGGAAAAAAAAACCCCATTCACTTGCATAACTTCAGGAACAAAAAGGCTGAATCATTAGAAACGCGCTAAACAATTCTGCTTTCATTACATGGTTTCTAACAACAGGCACATTTATCATAAATATTTTGTTCCAAGCAAGAACTGTGGAAGCTAACATTGCAAAGCAGTAACTGAAGAATAAAGTATTCCTATATCTCTAAGGACGACCATTTCAAATAACATTAATACCTCCTTTCAAAAGATCTTGCATGCAATGACAACCATTTCAACCATGTAAGAACAGCATAAATTTAACCTACACTTAATTTCTATATTAAAAAAATAAAGCATCTTTCAAGTCCAAGTGAGTGAGGAAAAAAAACAAACAAGCAAGTGATAATATACCTTAATTTTTAAATGATTATCTGATAAAAGTAATGACCTGTAGATATCTTTATGCCTGAACATCAGCCAGTTCTGGAGGAAGTGGAGTCTTAGGATGTTTGCTTTCAAAGTGCTGTTTGAAGGTCTTGGGATCCGGCATTTGTGTCTGATTAAAGAGAAACATTTAACTTAAAGTGCAGTACAAGAGCTACAGGATAGTACAAAACCTGTTATCCTCCCATGTTTTATTTTACTTGTGAACCTAATTTGGAACCCTGATTAAGACACTCGAAGTGACAAATCCATCCTAATCAATCCTAAAACTGACCATTTAAGTGAAAATGACAAATTAATCCTTCAGCTCCAAAATGAGCACATGCACAGGAAAAACAGCCAGAAGGGAAGTATAACCCAAACAGTGCTCTAATTTCTGATTTCCTGTTAAAACATCTATTCTAACAGAAGCTGGTGTATATTGAACTTGCATTAAAACTTCTGGCACCACATAATATCACTTTTCCCTCTCTTCATTAACACTGAAACCATGGATGTTAAGACAGAAAGATCTTTTCTGTATGATAGAACTGGTCTATCTAGAGGTTGATCAAGAAGCATTCTCAAACCTCCTACACTTTAGACACAGCATACTAACAGTGCCCACTGACCCTTGCAATTCAAAAGACAAGAAAACTACCTGAAACAGATCAGTACACGGCCTCTCACAATTTCTCATATCTCAATTACTAGAGACACATCTGTGTACAGTAATACTTTATCTTCACTTTCTCTTACCCTACAGACAGTGCAGGTATATATCAAGGCAGCCTTGGCTGCAGCCTTCTGATCATGCCCTTGCTTCTTTTTTTGCTCAGCTTGCTTTTTGGCATTTTTCTGCTGCGACTGAATCTTCTGCTGTCCACGAGCCATATCTACAAACAGAAAGAAGACATTTAGTCTGCAAGTGTGAGAAACTAGTGCTGCTAGCTGACTCAGAAGTTGTAACTATGAATGTAAGTAGTCATGTGCTCTGCCCCTGCGCTCTGACCCACGACTCCCATAATTCATACACAACAGACATCTGTTCAAGCTCCTTATTTCATGGAGACCCTCTGGTTTCAGTAGCTTTCTGAAGAGACACAATAGTTCTCTAGTCCATTCTAAGGCTTCTTCCTTTAAAAACGCTTCAACATGTAAATTTGAACACTGTTTAACAGAGATACTCAATTCTTATTTCTGGAACTTGGAATAGGTTTCAAGAAAAGGAAATTATCACTATTCCCCAAGCTGTATCGCTGTCTTCTGGTGTACCTGTTTATAATCAGCTTTGGAGTCAGGAATGGTAAGAATGATGCAGCATCCTTCTTTATCAAAGGATGCTTTTAGAGGTGGCCACCTTTGCAATTTTCAGCTGATTTTACAGGCATGCCTGCATATTTCTTGAAAGGACATAAAGCTGCCTCTACCAGAAGCCACTATTCTACTTGACCCAGAAGCACAAAGGAAGCTGACACCACCGCCACCTGTCATTAGAAGGTCCACCACGAACAGAAACAAGGCACAAAAACCTTATTTCACAGAGAAGCAGAGCAGCATATTCTGCAGCAGGAGCACTCCACCTGCACACAGCCCACAAGGACACCCAGCTCAGCTCACAGCCCACCCCCAGAGCAGACGCCAGGCAGGATTCGGGCGCACCAACAGAACAGAATTCAGACTGTGGTTACGTAAGGCAGCAGCCCACTTCCAGCTATTATCTTCCCTACAGTCCCTCATGTCCCATGCCTAATCCAGCTGTGGGGCTCACAGAAAAGCTCAGGACAGCTACTGGAGTCTGATTTTCAAAAACAACTATTAAGGCCTACATGCTATAAACAGGTCAGCTGACTAGTTATCACCCCTCTACGCACTGCGTCTGCTGCTGAGAACACACTGCATGGACACAACTGCTCTGCCTCACAGTCCTTCCCACAAGGACTGAGGCCGTCCACTGAGTGGGCTGTTCACCCTGCTGCACACTGAGCTCCAGCACAGTACAACTCCTGTAAATGGAAGCTTCTCTGAAACTTCATCTGCTTCTGGAAATTCACTAGTATTGCATAAGTTCCTGGACACAAAACATCACGGTGTTCAACTCCAAGCAGGACAGTCCTGACCCAAAACAGCTTGCAACCACTGCAAACCCAGGCCATGGTCCCCTTTTTTCGTGGTGTATAACACCACTACCCAGCCCTTTGGAGAAGAGTCACACTACAGCTTCAGTGCTTCCTCACCTTTCCTCATCACTTACTCCAAAGAAATTCAAAACTCCAAGTAACTCCATAGCTATTATCCTTCTACGTGACTAATCAAATCTCTCTGAACACAAGAAAACACCAGTTTTATTAACAAGCATACAGAAATACACGTGGCAATAAGAAGCAGCGGTAAGTTAAACTGAAAATACCAGCCTGTGTTTCAGTTTCAGCAGATGTTACAGTGACTCTGAAACATCCCGGCCAGGGCCTCACTCCCTTCATGTACAGCTTGGCTCAACAAGAACATCACAACCACATTAAAAAAAAAAAAAAAAAAAAAAAAAAAAAAAAAAAAAGGAAAGAAGTAGAGGTATTGCCAACCACTTTGCACGCACAAAAAGGAACAATGGAATATATTTTGGTTTTATTTTGTTGGCATTATAGAAATCCTTCAAAATTTAGGGGCTACTGACAGAAATTTCCAAAAAGCATTTGTGTGTTACTCTGTATGTCAGTCCCTTGAAAAGAGCATAACTCATAGGTTGCAACAGCTTGGTCACAAGCCCTGCATCAGACAGCTGATGCTTCGAGTTATGACACAAACAAGGAAACACAAACAAAAACATCTGCTCACACATACCAACCTCCCTACGATGCCTGCAAGCAGAAAAACACCATTTCAATGCTGCAAGTTACATTAATGAAGCTGGAACACGTGAAATAAATACTTAATTACTGGAAAACTGAGATTACTCGAACCATCAGCACACTAACAAAGCGGCTAAAATCTATCCTGAAGTTCGATAACGAAAACAGAAGCCGCGCACACCCGCAGCCGCCAGCGTGCCCGCAGCACACAGAGCGGCGCCGCTCCCGCTGCCAGGCACACCCTCCCGGAGCGCAGCACGCCGGCCCACTGCTCTGAAATAAACCAGCACGAGCGCCCGGGAACGCACAGCAACGCGCCGCGGAACGAGAGCACGCGCTGCGGGCAGCGGGACGGCGGCGCTCGGTGCCCCGCGCGGGCCGCTCCCTGTAATACGCGGACGGAGCGGGCGGTTCCGGGGCCCTGAGCGCGGCGCCGCAGCCGCTTCCGCCGCCCCGCCGAGCAACGCCGGGCCCGGCTGGCCCGCCCGCAGCGCCGCGGCGCGCCGCCTCACGGCTCCCCTCGGCCGGGGCGCTTAGGAGCGCGGGAAGGCGGCGGAAACGGCTGCAGCCCGCTCCCGTCGCTCGCGGAGCCCGGCGGCGCGGCCCGAGGCGGGGAGGCCTCCGCGCCTGCGTCCGGGCCGCGGCCACCCCTGTCCCCTTGAGGCCGGTCGACCGGCCCGCCTCACCGCATCCCGACCGTCCCCGCTCCCCTCACCCGGCTGGGAGCGCGGCCTGGGGGCCCTGGCGAGCGGGAGGAGACGGCTCCGCGCGGCCCCGCTGCAGCCGCCACCGCTGCCCGAGAGAAGGAGGAGGGAGGAAGGGAGTGATCAGCGCGCATGCGCGGCCCCACCTCAGCGCCCGCGCCGCCCGACCTCGGCGGCCAATGGCCGCGCCGCGCCGTTACATAACGCGGGCAGTGCGGCATCAATAGCCGCGCTGAGGTGGGAGGGGCGGCGTGGAGGGTGTGGGAGGAGCGCTTGAGGGCAGGGTAGGAGGCCGCGCCGAGTGTGGGGGAGTTAGATTGAAAGAATGGGCTGAGAGGAGAGAAGAGCGGGTCTCTTTAATTGGAAAGGGCACAGGGCTGTGTGCAAAGCGGACTGCGCAGGGGAGGGCTGTTGGGAGGTGGCTGGGAGGATGCTGGGTCACACGAGCTGGGGTACTAGCAGGGCTGGGGAAGGAGCCATGGCTTTCTGCTGACATCACGCGTCCCAAAGGAGGGCCGAGAGTCTCTGCCTTCCTTTATTGCACGCCCGCAAGAAGCAGGAGCGACTGAGGATGTACGTCGTCCTGCTCCCACACAGCTTCTGCTCCTTGAAGGCAGCTGCTGTGGCTTGGCAGCAAGCCTGCAGCCTTGGAGTGCTCCTGTGTCATCCGTGTGTGCACACAGGAGTTAGAGGGGTTGACGTATTACAGAGGTCAGGCTGGGAGACTGGTGTGTGCCCTTCCTTCTGAGAGACAGGAGAAGCACCAGAGAATCCCTGCAGCAGTACTTGGCTGGGTTATGGGGCTGTGGGGAGGGGTGGGCAGTTTGGAAGCAGATGGCTTTCAGAGTATGGTTTTGTACTGATCAGAAAGAGGACTGCCAGGTGAACAAGTGGCCCTTCTCCTGGCTGATGCTACTTCAGGATTGCTGCTGACCTCAGCACTGGTACTGGAGACTGCTCTCCAGGGTCATGTCCCCACACTGGGCACTGCTGCACGCCTGGTTGGATGGGAATTTCCAATAACGTGGATTTCTTGACTGCTGAGTTCTTGCTGTTCTCTGAACCTTCTGCTGCTGCTGCCAGCAGAACTGAGCCCTTCATGCAGCACAGAGAACCACGACTTTCCCTCTGGCTGCTTTGTCTATTGCCTTTGCGCTGCAGCATGGTTCCTACATTGTTCTACAATTAAGACTCTAGAAAAGGGACCATTAAGAAATTGAACCCATTGTGGGGAAAAAAAGAATGTGTCCCCATAGTTGGCATTTTTGTTATGAAGATAAAAAAGAAAATTTCCCCATTTGCTCTGAATGATTTTTCAGTTTATTCACTGTGTGAAGCCAACTTATCACACCAAAGGGAATATGTACACGTACACATGCAGGGCAGCAGAGAGATGCGGGGCGGATATGGTGAGCTGGTGGAGAGGCAAAGCTGGCTGTGTGCAGGATGCTTTGCATAGCTGTGTCAGAATGAAATGGTTGTAATTGCAGATTATCTGGCTTTGGACTTCCTGTGCTTTGTGCTACTCCCATGTGAGGTAAAGCAAGTCAGAGTACATGAAGGAAAGTTAAAATTTAAATTGATATGTTTGCAAATAAATAGAAATATTCTGCTGTTTTTCTGTGTGCTCCTTTAATTGTTGTAGGATTGTTTGTTATTTTTTTTTTTTAGCTTAAAAGAAACTCTCAAAGCCCATGGATTTTACCAGATATTTTGCATTAAAATAAAGTAAAAATCAGTAATGCCTCTCTGTAGCTAAATGCAGACCAAATGCAAGGAGCTTACCATTATGTCCAAGCCAATCCTTACAGAAATGTTTCAGATGTTAGAATCCAATGAAATGTGTGGTGATGTCATATGGAGAGGAAACAGCTCCTTTTGCTATAGGTCAGGCATTTTAGTTCTTGTGGAGCCCTCAAGTACAGTCAAATAAGATTAGTAAGTAAATAAGTAAGAAGGTCTTTTTATGATGGCATGATTGATCAGAAATAATGTTCTAATTTAAGGCTAAGCATCAGTGTGGTGAACAGCAGCAGGCTGAAAAGGAGTGAATGAGAAGGGCTGGAGTCACTCACAATATGATGGTAAGAGAGCTTTATATCACAGAAGTATAAGAAATTCCACATCTTTTAGTGCAGTCTTCTTTTGTGTACAGATAAGTTTAAGAACAAAGGGTGGAATTATGTATGATTATTTCTTAGTCATTTTATTTGTTTTCTTGTCCGGTAGTCTTTATTGTTAGTTGCTGTTATACTTATTTTGCATCTCTTTGAATTGTATATCTCCATCATTTTCTGTTCAGGGGCAGAGATGCTCTTTCTGGCATTATATCAAAATCCCCGTTCTGCTCAACAGCAATTTGTTGGCGCTTGACTTTTGTTGCTAGTTAGTCTGGGCTATCTCAGTTTAAAGTGACTGGTGTCCCCAGCACAGTTCCCTGCTACAAAGCACCTGACATTTTGACAGATGTTATTAAACCCACTTTGACAACAAAAATTTTCTTATGGCGGAATGGGTGGGGCTGCATCTCCTTTCTGAATCAGTTCCTGCTGGCATCTGCCAGGCCCTCTCAATGGCATTCCCTGCCACATCATTTTGCTGCTTGCTTTCTTGCGTGCTCACTATTGATCCAGCGCTGCATTAAACCTCATCCCAGCATCCAATCGCTGGCTGGTGGCCAAGGGCTGCCCTTTAGTGTTTGCTTGTGGGGACTATGCATGCCAGCATCTTGAATGTGGCTATCAAGCAATTTCTTTTGGTGCTGACCATGACCCCTGGCACACCTAACAAGTGAAGGAAAGAGAAGGGGACATGCTCCAGGCCTGTCAGTGGTGGGTATGTTTTCACTAATTTTGTGGATGCAGACCAGTGTTAACAGGAACATAAAAAGAAGAGATTGGTTCTGCAGCAAAAGGTTGAAAGACTTACAGTTTGAAGCCAGTATTCTCAGGAAGGATATGCAAAGCTGGTGTAAAAGTAGATCAGAGCCAGAGCTGCTGAATCCGTGGCCAGGTGACATGGTGGCCTGCAGAGCATCAGGCAGGCTGGAATCTTCCCCAGTTAGCTTTTTGATACGATAATGCAGCAGTCTTAATATAGCTGAAGGTTCTGGTAGGATAGTGTTTTTCTCACTTATCTTTTCTCTTCCATATAGATTTTTCTCTCCTACATGCATTAGTACATCGTTATTTTCCCTGTAAGAGCATTCTTCACAGCCACTGCTCCAGCTCTCATATCTCCAGCTCTCATGCCTCCTGCTCACACCCACCTGACACCATGTTGACTCCTGTTCCTCTGATGGCCATGTGCTACTTTTCTCCAGCTGGGAAGTTGACATCTCATGGGCTTGCCCAATATTGCTATTGTGATACATACAAAAGAGCATGAGACCTAAAACTACATTTTCACTGGGTTGCCTAGTTTTTTAGTTCTGCACCAGTATGAGATGATACCAAATCAATACACACATGGTGCAGAAAGAAATATTCTAAAGCATGTGGAGATACGCCTCTTTCTGCGTGTTTCTGCAGAACTAGCTATTTTTCAGTGCACAGTGTGCTGATCAAGGTGCTTCAGTAACACTCATCTCTGTTGAAAGGGGAAGAAAAGCCCAAGGAAGGATGTGACATGGAGCTGCCCACATCCTCCGAGAGACGAAAAAAGAGAAGGCTTAAGTGAAAAAGCTCACGATGACAGAGAGGGAGGTGGTCAGTAGCTGTGAGATCCAGTTGCTCAAAGGTTGGCGAGGCTGATGCATGTCCTGGAGAGCACAGGCAACAACTGTCTTATGGCCTCTAAGCATTTTGCAGGTCCTCCTCTTTTAAGCCCGCATTTTTTCTGCTTAAGAAAAAAAAAAAGGAATACAAGGCGCAAATGCTTTCTCAGCATGTCATAACTTTTTTGACCAACCCACACAGACAAACTGGAGGCCTTGAGAACATACACTTCTGTACTATATAAACAGTTTAAAATAGATTTTAGCTGTGCACAGCATTATGTACTGTTACTATTTTCAAATGCACACAAATTAATCTCATGCATTCATTTCCATTTTGCATGTGCCCTCCATTCATGCTTTTGAGTCTTATACATGCTGAGATCCTTTCCTTATCATGAAAGCCAATGTATCTGTAGATTTTTCAGTAAAAATAACGTTTCCCTTGTGTCCTAAAGATGCATTTTAATGCCTGTATGAAACATCCTCACACTGTGCCACATGCATAATAAAATGTGCAGCAATTGTAATTAAAATCTCTTACAAATGTGCCAGCCTTGTTCACAGCTCACCTCTAGCCTCGAGGAGGGTGGTGCATCTCTCTGTCTGTCCTTCTGAGCCACTGCACATCCTGGAGATGCCTCTCCCTCTGCCTTTCAGTTATCTATGAGCAGATTTCATTCTTGCATCTTGGGAAGAGTGGGAAGCTCTTCCTGCTGTCCAAATAGTGTGTGAAATCTTGTGGTCAGGGATGCAGAGGCCAAGGACACATCCCAGAATGAGCACTAGGACACGCATTCAAGAATGGGCTGTGCTGCAGGACATGCCCCCTGGAAGGAAGCAGCCTTGGACATCCAAAAGCACTATATGCAGCAGGTTTTCCCAGGTCTGCAGCACTGGCTCGGCCCCAGCAGTCTGTTGCTTCAGGAAGAGCTCAGTGAAAAACATCTGTCAGATTTCAACTTTTTCCTTCTTAAATACCCTATTAACTGCACTCTGAAGTCTGTGTATGACTGACAGGCAGGAATCCAAAGAGCCTGCTGCAAACTGAGCTGTGAGGATTGCTGTGATTGCTGGTGCTTCCTGCCAGCTGCTGACCACTTGGTACATACTGAGGTCTAGCTCACAAACACTGGTGGAGAAATGGGACCTGGCAAGAGAAATCATGGGAATTATTTGGTTTACATCAGTTGACTGGATCCCATTGCTTTTTGCAAAAGATCCCAGAGTGCACACAGTGCAGCAGCAGAGCAATGTGCTATGAAAATACAGAGCAGAAAACACATGTCTAGAAGCAGCCAGTAGTACAAAAGGCTACATAGAGCTTTGCAGAGGCTGAACATATTACTTGCAGGGCAGTGAGGTGGAGTCAGAATTACTGGTGCTGAGCTTATGTGGACAGA